ATTATGGAACACAACTCCCTTTCTTTTGGCCAATTCTGGTTGCTCTTTCTGTATTGCTTCGTTCAAACGGTCAAGTTGTGCACAGTACAGGGCCGGTACTGTGCCAGGTTTCACCAGGTTGCAATGGTCACCCAAACATTGAGTTTCTTTTTGTAACCTGCTCTTTTCAAATGATTCCAAACTGTCATGTGATTGATATTTAGTGCCTCTGCTATTTCCTCACTTCCATTGAGCTCCTCTGCTTCCATTGAGCTTCTTTTTGTAACCTGCTCTTTTCAAATGATTCCAAACTGTCATGTGGTTGATGTTTAGTGCCTCTGCTATTTCCTGACAGCTTGCATGCTGGTCTTGCTCCACCAGTTGCAAAATTTCGTAGAATTTTTCGGTGACTAGCCGACCAGGGTGAGGTGAATCTTTGATATCGAAATTTCCGGAACAGAATCGAGCAAATCATTCCTGGGTCCTTCGTTCACTCACAGCATTCTCACTGTACACTTCACAAATTTTTCGGCATGTTTTTGCAGGCTTTTACCTTTATAGTAAAAAAGCATCACATGACATATTTCTTCAGATATTTCACTCATTTCCAAATCAATATAAATTTTTACACAAGCAACAAATTAGAAAACTATTTTCACAAAAAATGGAAGCTGAATGTCACCTTTTCAGCACATGTTCGTTTAAGCCAATCGGCTTGAGTGTTGCCAGAGATATGGGCATCAACACCATCTAGTGGCAAAATAACGCAGAGACTTTTTATATGACCCAATATGAAATTGTGCTCTTACTATTCTTAAGTCCTAGTGGACTTCATAGGAGGCACTTCATAGTACACCATCCTTCATAGGAGGCACCACTCGCAACTGTACTTGATGCTTCTGATACAGCTATGAGTGCATCTCTTCACCAACAAGTTGAAAAGGGATGGCAACCTCTTACTTTTTACTCAAAAAAAAATAAATAAATAAAAAAATAATAAATAAATAAATAATATCTCCAACACAGCAGAGATACAGTGCATATGATAGGGAGCTGCTCGCATCATATATGGCTATAAGGTACTTTCAACATATGGTTGAAGCTTGTAATTTCATATTATTCATAGACCACAAACCACTTATATTTGCATTTGGGCAAAAAGATAAGTGCTTCCAACGACAACTAAGACAAGTGGATTTCACGAGCCAATTTACGACTGATATTCGCTACTGAAAAGGTTCAGACAGTGTGGTAGCAGATGCACTGTTACGGATTCATATAGCTGCTATATACCACCATCTGCTATTGACTACTATCAGCTTGAGAATGAGCAGGACAATGATGCCGAATTGCAAAATATAGTATCAGAAATTTCGACTACCTCATTAGTGCTGCAGCCCCTCCCAATTGGTCAGCCTCAGTTATTCTGCACTGTGATATCTCCACTCGTCACATTCGCCCTTTCATTTCACAGTCATTTCGTAGAGCAGTGTTTAGTAGCCTTCATTCTCTCTCACACCCAAGAGTTAAAGCCTCAGTAAAGCTGATTGACAAAAGATATGTTTGGCCTTCAACAAAAGTGGATGTGGCACATTGAGCTTATGAGTGCTCAGGGTGTCAGATATCTAAAGTGACACGCCATACCAAAAGTAAAATTGGTGTTTTTGTACCACCTAGTGCTAGAATCGAATATGTGCACATTTACCTCGTGGGACCTCCCCCTCCATCTAAAGGCTTTCGATACTGTTTCACGTGTGTCAATCATTTTTCTAAGTGGCCTGAGGCATTTCTGTCAACAGATATATCTGCACAGACTGTTGCAGCAGCCTTCTATGATGCGGGTTTGATCTTCAGATTCGGAACCCAAGTCCAGTTAACTACCGACCAGAGAAGGCAATTTGAATCATTACTCTTCAATGCACTTACCAAGTTCCTGGGTACAGATCAACACCGCACATCCCCATACCAGTCTGCAAGTTGAAAAGTTTCACCTGCAGCTGAAATCCGCTATCATGGCACATAGCAATAATCAGTGAACTGCTGTATTGCTACAATTTTATTAGGGTTTAGAGCAACTTGGAAGGATGATCTGCTAGCAACCACAACAGAAATGGTGTACGGAGCTCCAATTCGTCTTTCAGGATAATTCCTGTGCCCTACTACTGGAACCCCAGATCCAGTCACTTCTGCCAGAAAGCTTCATGAATCTATGCAATACCTTCTTCCTCCTACAAATCAACCTCACACTGAACAAGCAGTATTCGTCAGCAAAGACTTCACACCACCTGCAGTCATGTTTTTCTTCGGACGGAGGTAGCAAAAAAGGAAAAAGGCCTTCAACCGCCATACGAAAGCCCTTATGAAGTGATCAGATGAAGCGACAAAGTTGTCACAATTTCCATACGAAGCAAAGCTAAGACAGTAAGCATAAATCGGCTTAAACTAGCATATGTTACAAGAAAAGACACTGAAGACTCAGCACCCGCAAACACTCAAAGCACAACTTCCCTCTCTACAATAGAGGATCCGAGGACAAAATCTGAGATTCCCACATCACCAACAGCTATACCCTGCGCCAAATTATGAATCACTGGCAATGGTAACTCACTCCAGCTGACAGGTACACTTCAGTCCCTGGCATAGCTAAAATCTCACTGTCACCAGTGGGGGCTGCCTGTAGCGATCACCGGACTACATTTCTAAAAAGGCGTTCATGGGATGAAGGCAAAGGAGAAAAGTGGTGACACAGCTCGAGAGGAGATTCAGACAGGCGTCAGAGTTCACTGTCACTCCGAATTTGACATTCGGAGGTATGCTTTTTAAAAGCTCCTATTGTTCGATTTTGGAAATGTAATATTTCCGTGCTCGCATACACAGCTTGTGTTAAATATATTCAAATGTGAATATGGATAATTTGCATCTTACTATATAAGGTTCTATCAAGCATTCTAATATGTACCTAGTGTAAAACATTACAGAATGTTTAAAAAAAAAAAAAAGTAAAGAAGTCTGCTTATAGCAGCAGCCATGATAAAGCGTGACATCATACCGTGCCATTTCATAGCTTCATTTTAATTGCATGGGACATACAGAGTAGGCTTACTCCGTTTATTCTAACCTCCTTACGTGTTACCATACTTTTTTATATTCTCTATATTATTTCTTTAAAAATTATACATGGTAATAATATTTAGTGACAACATCCTTTTATTTGAAAAGACAAAAAGTGAGGATTGATAAAATGTGTTAAATATTAGTTCTCTAGGATGGCCACCTTCCCAGAAGACCACAATTATCTGGAACTGAGTATGGTTATCTTAAAGATTCATTGCAATTTGAGTTAATTTAGATTCAATATATAGCAATAAATAACTTTTTAAAATTCTACATTTAAGTTTTCACAGTTAGTCAACAATAGCAATAAACACTACCTGAATTTTAATTATGTGAGAGGGTACTTCTGTGTTATTGCAACCACCTTAGCAGAAGTCGCCAAATTTTAAGAATCTGCCAACAATGCACATAATCGTTCTTCAAGCGACAACACGTATAACAATTCTTCAGTCAACAATGTCGCCATTTCCATATGCATTTGTTTTGTTTCAACGTTTTTTATAAACAAATCATTATATTTTTTTGCTTTAAACTTGATTTTAAAATATGTGCTTGTGAAATTGGTCAGCAACAGAAGAAATGGTAAAATTTCTGTTGGAATGCAGAATTTTGCCACAAAATCTTGAAGGAAAACAAATTGATGAATTAAATAAAGATTTGGAAAAGAATGCAAGCTTTATTTCTTGAATATATCATGTAATCCTTATTTATTAATTAAAATTTTTATTTCTAAATGCTAATGTATGTTTTCTTTAGATATGCAGATATTTTTTATTAGCTGACAATAAATATTGATATTTTAGGAACCATTTAAAAAAAAAAGGTCACACAAACTACCATCTTGCACCTGATACGAAATCGCAAATTGCACCAAGGTGGTTACATAAATATGTAAATACTGTGTGAGATAAAGTTACAGAAAGACACTAGTTAAGATTATGATGGTGATAATTTGTCCAAGCAAGGTACAGTTGGTTGTGTTAAATAAAAAACTAAGTTCAAAATTCATTAATGAATAAAATTTTAAAAGATTTATTTATTTACTTATTATTAACACTCTTATTAATGTCTATATATATGTGTGTGTGTGTGTGTGTGTGTGTTATTCAATTGATATTTTTATGGCTTGAGATCACATACATAGAGCAACAGAAATAAGTTGAACATTATTTGGTTCTCTCCACTCATAACAACATCACAGAAAACGAAGTATAAATATCCATCAATGTCAGTTTTCTCACTAATTAAGGAAACACATACCTATTGCTTTTGCTTTCATTTAACATCAGTGACAACAAGGGTTTAAAGTAATATACAAGGGGTAAATTATGGAATTTAATTACTTCATATTTCAGTATTTACTTTGTGAGATGTACATTATGTCAGCTACATAAAATTAAAAACTTAATAAATGTTTCCTCTAAAAATACATATTTTATAAGAATTTGACAAGTTTATCATGTTTTCCCATTAATTTAATTGAAGTAAAAACTGCCCATAGATAAATAAGAATTACAAAAATTTATTTTCTTAAAATAATCAAAATTAACTAAAAATATCTTTACATATTTTAAAGGAATAAAAACCTTACTTTTCCATTTACAAGTTATAAAATGATTTACAAATGATTCTAATACATTAAAAATAAGATTTCATCTTTTTAATGAAAGTATCTTTAATTGGTAGCATTCTTATATTATTACACTTACCTTCTCATTAAAAATAAGAATTTTCTAAAGGTGATTTTTCTGGTACTACCCACTTAAATGATATTTTGTTGCAATTCTTTTCGATATTTTAGAAAAAATTCTGGTAATTTCCCATTTACAAACAAAAATATTTAAATCTGAGCATAAAGATAATATACAAATTATTTTCATTGAACGTATATAAGTTGATTAACATACCTGAAAATTCTAAATAACTGGTCAATTTCAGAATCTCCTCTGAATAAGGGAGTTTTGTTTGCCATTTCAGCAAATATGCACCCTGCGCTCCAAATATCAACTGGCGTAGAGTATCTGGGAGATCCCAGAAGCACCTCAGGTGCTCTATACCACAGTGTAACAACTTCATGAGTGTAAACTCGTACAGGAATGCCAAATGCTCTAGCAAGTCCAAAGTCAGCAATTTTAATGACACCCTTTTCATCAATCAAGAGGTTCTGAGGCTTTAGATCTCTATGTAAATATCTACGACGATGACAAAACAAAATACCCTCCAAGAGTTGATACATATAGCTCTGAAAATATCAAAATATATTGCTTTATAAAAATCCAAATAATATAACAAAAGAAGTGCAGATATTAATTTGCTTTTATAGATTACAGTTTTTATAAATCCAAACAAATTAGTTGAACTCTTAGTATTCACAACAAATATACACATAAAATAGCTGTGGTAATAAAAGTGATAACAAGTTTTGAGTCTCTTTACTGAATGAGAAAGCTGTTGGAAACATTTAACTTTTGGCATCGTATGATCATTTTACATACTTCCAAAATTTTAAGAAACAAATCTGGAATCCCCAAAGTATCAACAAGTCTGGATCTTTGAACTGTATTTTGTTTGTTTATCCTGATTGTGAAGTATCAAAAAATAACTTCAATTCAACAGCTATTTTTAATAAATTTTCCATTTTATTTGCTTTATATTATCCTTTTTTAAAAAGTCAAAATTTCACATTACAGTGTGACAGCTGTCTCAGCATACTGTATGTAAACTATACCAAATACACTCTGTCACAAAAAAATATATGCACCCAGAAAGAAACAAACTACTATCACGAAACTGAACATGTACGTAGTGTACGAAGAGATTTGAAAAAATTATTACAAATCGAGAGCAAAAGATCGTTTTATTAAGAAGTTATAGCATGAAAAAGGTTACAAATCAGTAAGTAGCAAGCTGCCTACGACAGCTATACCAGCCAAAACACGGCATGGCATCAAATCAAGTAGGTTATGTATGATTCCCTGTGGAAGATAATGCCATAATCTTTGCAACTTGGCAGTTAATTCACCAATATTCCAGGACAGTTGCAGTCGCCTTCCAAGCATGCATTAAATGTGCTCTACTGGCGAGAGGTCTGGTGACCTGTCAGGCCACGGTAATATATCATATCCTTGAAGACATTGTTGAGAGAGTCCCACAGTGCGTGGACGAGCATTGTCTTGCTGATAAATGGCAATTGGGCAACTTGATAGTATAGGCAGTATAACCAGCATTAAAATGTCTACGTAACTGCGAGCTGTCATAGTATAGTGCCTTGAAGGATGACTAGAGGTGATCGTGTGTTCCAGCAAATCACTCCCCACACTGTCGCACCTTCTGTAATTGCTGAATGCCACTCAATGAGCACCAGATCAGACCACTGGTCTGGTCGCCTCCACATCAGCATCGTGACTAAATCAGGATTCATCGCTGAAAATTACACACCTCCAGTTGAACACACTCCAGCTTGCCAGAGTTCAGCAAAAATCCAGTGGACACTGTCTATGATGTTGGGTTAGTGGTAGGCATCTTAATGGATGCTGGCCAGTCGTCTCCGAATGGTTTCCCTCGCTACCACCAGATGCCTAGAAGGTGATAAATGTCATCAAATCAATGCTAGCAACGTTGTTGGTGTGGAAGTGGGCACTTTCATGATTACATGTTCTTCATGCTGATTTGTGTTCCTGGAACAACCTGACCCTCCGTGACGGTTGACTATGCCTTCTGTGAACCATTCTTGCTAACACCGAGCAACTGTCATATTGCTTCGATCGAGGTGGCGAGCAATATAGCTGTTCAACCAACCTGCTTCCAGGGTTCATACATGGAATGGAACCATATGGAAATTAAGTACTTTTAAGGACCATTAACAATAATAATTAAGGATCCATCAACAAATGGGACCTGAATAAATTCAATTAAAGATATTATTTATGCCTGAACTTCACTTTTGGTATACCATCCTAAGAATAAAATAGATTCACAAGTAGAATGCATTATTATTAAACATAATTATAAAACAAATTTGAGAATAAAATCAACTTTACAAAATTTATCAGGCAGCATTAAATATTTTACCTTTATAATAGTTGGACATATTTGGAAGAAGATTAGTGACATTTTATTTATGTTTTACTAATAGTTAGCTTTATGTTGATATTTTTATTTTAGGCCTCACTTTGTCACATACTTGCTCAGTTTAGAGGTTAAGTAAATAGCAGGTAGATTTTAGTCAAATGGCATAGGTTAATATGAGAAGTAAAATCATCAGCACGATTTGTTTCAGACTGGTTGTTGCCACCGCTGCTGCTTGCGTCTACTGATCAGAAAAACCTGAAATCCCAATGTAAGCACAGTTGGCAAGTTTTGAAAGTTAATTGTGCTCTGTCTGTCTGATGAAGTTAGTGACATAATTTTGCATAGAGTTCTTGGGGTTGTAACCCACTTAATATATTTTAAGGTTCCAATAAGCGACTAAAGCACAGAGGTGATAAGTTGTTTTGTATTACTTTAAATCTCACTAGATGTAAAGAATTAAGTTTTACATTAAGTTTTATATTTTTGTGTTGTACCTTGTGACCATGGTACAGATTAACTCACTTTAATAGGCAGGGATAAGTTTTAAGGGTGGCCAATTAGTTACAAGTAATTAAATTAGCTAGTTAGATACCCTTAGTCATTACAGATTTAAATGGCTACTAATAATTTTTTTTAATATTTGTTAAGAAAGCACTATTAAAATCACAATCTATTAACATGTCAACAGTTTAAAATACATGCACTTTCTGAAATTGATTCATAAACACTATTAAGATAACTACACATTATAAATTACAAAACATTTATGTTTTGCAGCAACAATACTCAACAAAATATTTATGCATCTTTTTAATTTGAAGCCTTTCCAGACATTCTAGCTAATTTATATTAATGTTCTTCTCCTTAAGCATCTTTTCTAACAATTAGAAATTTGCTTCAATATGCAAACCAATATCAAATACCTTTACTAGTTCCTGCATGTTTTATCTCATAACTTCTCAATCTCTCGACTATGTACACTACGGAAAAAATGGGGCAATTCTATATCTCTCGTTCTACTGGGCCGATTGACAAAATTCAAATTGCATTTTTCATGTCTTGAAAGTGCGACTTAAGATATATTTTAGATTTATATATAGCATTGTTCTAACACATGTATTTTGACACAAAATTTGACTTTTCTGAAATAACTTACCAATTTTTTTCACATTTCGATTCTACAAATCAAATAATGCCTAAGTATTAAACTGTGTAAAATTTGGTGCGACGTTTACGAAGAAATTCAAAAATTTATCTTGGCGCATTTTTTAGTTGTGCCAATAATTCACTTAGCAAACTTCTTACTTCTCAGTATATGGCAACCTATTTTCCTTTCCCTTCCATCATGCAGGACCAGGGGAAAAAGTCACAACTTTCCTAGCTTTTTACATTGTGCATGGGTGGGGAAAAAAGTCACATCGTTTCTACTTTCAAATAATTTTAACAAAGTGCCTAACCCAAATTTGACGTTATTATCGCTTTTAACAAATACGCCAATATATAAATTCACATATATCTTCGGAAATTTTGAATAAAAAACTGTAATTTTTCCAGGTATGCTTAGAAATACATCTACTTTAAGATGATGGTAAAAATTTTACAGATTATAATTCAGTTTTTTTTTTTTTTTTTTTTTTTTTTTTTTTAAATTTATAAAAATTGTTTTAAAATACAAATTTTAAAAATAAATCATAAAAATTGGTGAATTTTATTTGGCATGAACCTAAATTTTGAAATGTGAAAGGAAGAATCCAATAAGTTTAATAAAAAAAGGATATATTAATAAATACATACCCAACTCAATTAACATTGAGGAGCTAAAATTCTGAGAGCTAATTTTTAAAAAACTACTAGTGCGATTTTAACAAAATTTGGTAGTTTGGCATAATTTGAGTCCTAAAATGTAAATATGGAAAAAAAATGGCATGCCTTTTCAGAAAAAGTCCGATTGTTTTGTGTCAAAATCGACGCGATAACGCAAAGACAAATAATTAAAAATTACCAGTGCTGGTAGGAACTAATGCAGCATGCAAGTAGAGGCAAAAAAACAAATTCTGTCTTACAGCCCCAAAACTTAAAATTTATTTATGATTTTCATTCTTGTGAGGAAACGGAAAGGGAATATTATAGCAAGAGCTGAAATTTTAAACAACTGCTTAATTTACATAACAATAACTGTACATGTCTTTGAAGAACAATTTTCTTTTCCTTTATGTATTCAGTTTCTTTCTTCAATACGTTTCCTCTTCATTTTAGAATTTTTCTATTTAATTAAAGATTTCTGTTATTCTAAAAAACTAAATGAATTTAGAATGTATAGGAAAAGCTGCTAATTTGATTTCTTTAGTAACATAAACATCCACAATAAATAAGAAATGATATACGGTAAGGGCTGGTTACACAGCCAGTGTAGCAGAATTTTTAAAATTTAGTGACATGCTGAACAACAAATTCTAGAAATGGCAAAATTTTAGAATTTAGGAGGGCACTAGGCAGCAGAATTCAGGATCCACAAAAGTCTCATCAGATGGGAAAATACGTAGCGATGTATATGATGCAGAGCCGTAGCTAGGGTTTTAAGCGCTCAATGATAACTGAAGATTTTGTGCCCCCTTTGGTATGCCAAGAATGAAAAACATTTCATTATAAAATTTTTTTAAGATCAGCACCCCATGGATGATGCACACAGGGACAGACACACACTCCCCCCCTATTTACGCCACTGATGATGCAATCTATAATAATAAAAGCAAGTGTAATGTGTCTGTCTGTCTGTCTGACCGAGCTCTCCAGCCAAATCTATCGCACGCAGGGACCTGGAATTTTTTATACGGAAGCACAAAGGGGCTGGCCACCAGACCTCGAAGCTCGATTTTTGAATTAGAAAAATTTAAAAAAAATTATTTATAATTAATTAATCACGGTTTTTTTTGACTCACTGATATTATTATTTGTTTCAAATAACGTTCGATTGTAACAATGATTTCTTTATTCTAGCGTTAGTTTGCTGTTTTGACGATACATTAAATCGATTAATTACAATTCATTTCTTTTTTGTAGCTTGTGGGGGGGGGAAGAGAGAGAGACAGTCTACATATCCTACACTACTATTCCTGCGCTATTCACTTATCTGCATTTTCTAAATGCACGGGCAAACGCCGGGCGGGTACAGCTAGTAAGACATATAAGATGAACTGTCAGTTTTTAATTTCTTTATTAATAGAAAAATTCCTTTCTATAAATGCTTGTCCATGTGATAAGATTAGAAGTATTTTCAATATTTTCATGCTTGTGTCGAGTGGAAAGTAGAGAAAAAAAAGGGAAGATAAACATGTTAAGAAAAAGACTTCTAATATCAGAAGTAAAACGTTCAAATATTATGTTTACATTGTTCTTCCGAAAATTCTCCAAAAAGTAAAAGTTTATCACAAACTTTCCGTAAAATACATCCATTACGTGTTATTACCATGAAGACATTTTTCTGGAATCTTCTAGATTCATGGGTCTATAAATCTTGCCTTCAAATCCTTCTAAACTTTTCAAGTGGCAATGTCTGAAATCCTAAAGAAAATTTACCCCTACCAATTCTGCGACAGTAATATGTTGGAAAAAAAATCAGAGGAAAAGTGTAAAATTAATTTTGCAGAGAAAACTGATGTATATTGAGATGATTACATGGGAAAAGCTCTTACCATGAAAAAATTCAAACGAAGGCATTTTTAATTAATTGCATAGCTGTTTTGCTTTTGCAAAGAATTGTTTCGTAAATTGTGCTAAAGCACAAGTTAAGCATTTATCACCTTGTTTATTGTTCAAATTCAAAATATTGTATAAGTCGCCAAAATGGACCACAATTTATGAAATAAAGAACAATTATGATCTAAAGGGTATCAAAATTTATAAAAAAAAAAAAAAAAAAAAAAAAAAGCTTAATATTTATTTGTTTACTTTATTAAACATTTCTTTCAATGTAAATTGTTTAAGTTCCTTCGTTTTTTATGTGATAATACATTCTCTTTAATTTTATAAACAGACATAATTTCTTGTTCAGTTACAAAGTTCCGCTGTTCAAATCCTATAATTGCTATGTCGAAAATACCGACTAATTTGTCAATCGAAATTTTTTCGTTTGAAATTTTTTCGTTCGTATTATAGATAGAGTGACAGTGACCTCTGTCACTTTCTTCGCTATCGGAAGCGAATTATAATGACGAGGAATTTGATTTAAATCATATCAAAGATGGAGTACATCGAGATGAAATACTACATTTAGTAAGGAATTATAAGCCAAATAAAATAAAAACATCTGCCCTGAAGATAAGGATAGTGCTGACAGATCAACTTCCAATGCATTGCGCGCCGCGGCGTTAAAGATAAAAAAAGTTTAGATAAACAAAGGAGATGCCTTTATCCATTTTTTGCAGCAATTCCACTTTTTGTTTAATGGTCTTCGAAAGACACTTTCGCTTTGTAGATCCTTTACATATTAGTAAATATATATCAGAAATTCTACTTGACGTAATTGAAAGTTCAAGCTTACTTTTATAAAATTCCTCTAACAAGTCTGCAAAAAATAATAAGCCGAATCCAATTCGAAGATTAAGGAACAATGCAATCTGCAACATTAACTGAATTAGATAATTTTAGCTTAGCTTATACCATCTGTTATACATTAAACGCACATTCGTAAACGGATTTTGCGCATGCGCACACGCGTATTCGCAGCCGTAAAGGTCTTGCGTGCATGCGGCGACGCGACGCATGCGCAGAAAGTTTGTAGCTTTGAGGTCCAGATTATAGATCATTCCGGATTATGGGTGTCCAAATTAACACTTTTGACTGTATTAGCATTATTTTCATGAAATCGATCAATGTTATAATGTTTTAAAAAATATCATCAAAGAATCCCGATTTCAGAATTAAAAATTTTCTATAGAAACTGATCTTAAAATCGCCAAAATCATGATAAGTTGACAAACTGGAACCGTTTAATAAAGAATTCACAATCCCAAACACAAAAAGTTGTTTAAGAGCTCTTCATTAGAAAAAATGAAATATTTTCGAAATTTCATTTCTTGCTCAGAAACTTGAGTTTCTCCATCTTTTATATTAGAAATAGGAACAAATTACAATCCATGAACCTATTCACACATTCAAAGATATTTGTCCAAAATGCTAACTCACATTTGAAATGGCAGAAGTAAAAACTGACTGAAATTTCAGATGATTAAAATTAAGGACCTCCTGCCAAATTGGTCGAAATTAAGGACTTTAATGGACCAAAAATCAATTCCAAAAACCTACGGACTTTTAAGGACCGTACGAACTCTGTGCTTCTCTAAGGACTACTGTATGCGCCTTCTCTCGTACTGCTGTCGGTTATGCCTGAAGCATCTCTAGTCATAATACCATCTATTTAAGTCAACAAAGTCATTTTAATAGCCCTACGGCATGAGCAATCATGCTTTTACACTCTCCCAGCTACACATCTCATATGCACATAGTGTGCTTACCTTTGTCTTATTAGTGCCAAAATTTAAATCATTTGCATATCTCTTACCAGACTACATTCCTGCCAAGTTTTGTGATTGTGGCTCGATTTCTTCTAGGTGCACATATTTTTTTGTGACAGACTGTATTTTAAAGTAATCTGAATAATTTATACTTTTTAGAAATAAAACAACTATTTCCCTCCCCCCTGAAAAACCTTACCTTGACTAGAGCTTTATCCATAAATTGTCCACTGGGAATGCTATCGAGATACTTTTTCAAATCCATTGAAAGAAATTCAAAAACCAAATACAGTCTACTTTCTTGCATTAACACATCTAATAGCCTGAAATAATATAATTACAATATTTTATTTCAATTGTTAATGTTAAATTTTATCGAGAAACTAAATTAATACACAGTATATTTTATCCCTTTAAAGAAAAACATTATTTACATAACTTTGCAATTGTCTATATTTTTTAATGTAATTGAACAAATAATAATAGTTGCAGAGTACTTTGTAATGGTAATAGGTGTTTCATTATACAGGGTGTCCCAAAACGATCGCATAAACTCTGCACAGCTAGATTCCTCGTTGGGAGTACATAAAAACTGCCCGAAGAAGCATTCCTGTACGATCCATAGTTTACGAGAAAAATACGAAAAACAAAGTATGATGTCACTGCCAGTGCAAGAAAAAAAACACTTTATTGGACATATCCACAACAGTATTGGCATATCTTTCCAGACGATAACATTTAAAACATTCGGCGCACATATCTCGTCATGCATGCGCGCGCCGTGGAATGCCGTTAAGCCGCCGTTGAACTGGTATTTATAAGGCTGCATCTTGCAGCTACTGGTAGTATTTGTATGGTGGCCATGTATTCCGTTCGTGACTACTGCAACATATACTAGATGTTTGGCCAATGTAATTGAAATGCTTTACAAACTGCTAGGGAGTATGCCCGCCGATATCCGTCCTCCCAATGTCAATGTCATCCGTAGGCTGGACAGACTACGAAATACGGGAAGCGTCTTGCCAACAGCCAATCTTCACGATACTGGAAGACCTGACGGTAGCACAGGCGGATGCAATACTGCTGCAGGTAGAAGAGACGCCCAAGTTAAGCACACGCGCATTAGCCCATGAGATGACTTCGAGTAAAAGTGCTGTGCACAGGCTTGTACGGTCTGAGAGGCTACACCCATTTCAGTACACAACCATGCAAGGTCTGAAACCAGATGACTTTCAGAAACGCGTGGGCTTCTGTGAATGGCTGTTGCAGCAACAGAACACAGATACTGGTTTCATTGTACATATCATGTGGTCCGAGGAATCATGTTTCACTCGTGATGGGGTATTCAACCATCACAACAGCCATATGTGGTCCCAGGTCAATCCGCATGCAATCCGGCCGCAGAAACATCAGGAATGTTGGTCTCTTAACATGTGGGCCGGCATACTCGGGGATGGCCTGCTTGGACCATATCTGTTGCCTGAACGATTCTCAGGACAGTCATACTTGGTGTTTCTCAATGAGTTCTTAACCGAGTTCCTCGATGACATACCATTAGTGGCAATACAGGGACTTTGGCTCCAACATGATGGGGCTCCAGGGCATTTCTGTGCTCCTGTATGTGGTTGGCTGGATATGGAATACCCTGGCTGCTGGATCGGATGCGGGGGTCCGGTTCTATCGCCGCCATGTTCGCCAGATCTTACACCATGGATTTTTTCCTATGGGGCCATTTCAAGGAACTGGAGTATCGAGAACACCAATGGACTTAGTTGAACACCAATGGACTACACCAATGGACTTAGTTGCTCGCCTGCATGCTGCTTGTACTTTGGTGGACCCCGCGATGCTGCAACATGTGATGACAGGCATTCCACGGCGGACACTTTGAACATCTGCTTTAAATTGTGCATATACTGCTGTTGATATGTTCAATAGTGTTTTTTCTTGCACCGGCAGTGACGTCATACTTTGTTTTTCATATTTTTCTCGTAAACTATGGATCATACAGGAACGCTTCTTGGGGCAGTTTTTATGTACTCCCAATGAGGAATCTAGCTATGCAGTTTATGCAGGCGTTTTGGGACACCTTGCATACTGCTTGATGTTTTTTAAGAGTGGTAAAATTAAACAGGTGGTTATTTATTTGTTGTGGTGCAAGATCAGATTCAAATTATGAATGCAATAAATACAACACACTAAACCAGAATGAAATGATAAATTTAGACTTTTAATATATACATTAACTTAACACTATATAAAATTAGAACCCTTATAACTAGCATTGGGCAAACAAATTTGCTTAATATAATACCACAAAACATTAAAAAGGGGAATAATTTCACACTTTTGCATTAGAATTGTAGTACAGTTATCACACAGGCAAGTGTGACATCTGCATCTTAGATTATTAATGTCTAGGTAGACAGCTGTAACATTTATGTGACAATAACATGGAACATGTAAATATGTTTAATTCCAAAAGATGGTGCCCTATGTCCATAATACCAAGATAAATGGGAATATGATGTCTGAATTTGACCTTGGACCGTTTCATTTGTTTGGAATGCCAGAATTTAGTAGTGTGCAACAAAAGTGCACATGCATTTTTGTTTGTTTCTTTCAAGTGGCTTTCTGAACTATCTCACATTAGTTCAGTTTTATTTAGTTTCATCTTTTTCATTTATAGAATAGGATTCAACAAATGCAGAACAGGGTTCAACACTTAAACTATAAAATTCAGATTGTTGGATGTTTTTTCTTTTGTGTAAAGGTAAATGTTTCAGTTTTTTAGACCAGAAGGGCTGTTAATTTCATTTTGGCATTTTGCATTGAAAACTTTGAACGTTGGTTTACTTTTCAAACTGTTGCCACTAAATACTAGAGCCCTATATTATATTTAAAGAAATTAAATAATGAAAAATCTGCATAAATGTATGTATGTTTCTCCCATTGTGATAAAATAACTGTAGAGGCATCAAACTTTGAATAACGTACACCCCCCCCCCAATATGGGCATCTGGAAGCCTAAATTTTGAATTTGTTTTATTATCTATTTCATATTTTGTAAAATTTTAACAGAAATTTTGATTAATAAACTCAATGATTTCAAAGGGAGCAATGGCAACACTATACAGAGGGGGGGGGGAAACATTTTTATCTGCAGCGTGCAAGACTGTGTATCGGAAATTCTAAAGATATGCTCATTTTAAATTTATTTTGTAATATTGCTTTTGAACTGAATTTTATAGTTTAAGTTTGAAGAATATTATATTTAATAAATAAAGGTAACACATAAAATGTTAAAAAAATGCTCTTTTGGGTGTAATGTAAAATCTTTTTTCTTTTAAGGTTAAGATTTCAAAACAAAAGCAACATTTATTGGAAGCTGACTAAGCAGCTTTATTACAAGAGGATCTGAGTAGCAGGAATGTCAGTGGCTTTAGCAGTAAACAAAATTACAAAAAAAAAATTAGAGAAACCAAACTGCATTCTCCTGTACAAAACAAAATATGGGAGAACTGGATATTAGAGATGCAGTCAATACTTACATCTTATAGAAAATCTTTCAAATGGTATTAGAAATCATTTTTTGGAGCTCCTCGACATTACGTTCTATAATCCTCATGTTTATACAATGTAAAAAAATGGTACAAAAGACTATTACTTCAATTTTGGTTAAAAGTAATTGAGGAAACTGCAGAGAGGGTCATGTCAGAAAAAAGGATGTGAATTTCGAGCATTAGCCGCACTTATGCCATTTTGCCTTTCAGAAAGGCATTTTCCAGTTTCTAATAGGAGGAAAGAGAAAATGAGAAGCTAAATTATTTGCTCTCAAACTACACAGAGAAAGCAAGCTTCGGGAAAAACACCTTACTTTGCAAAGATTGTAATGTAGGACTGCATGGACCCATGCCCCAGAATATATCGTACAGTTTTGTATGTATGTGTGGATTTTTCATTGTATGTGTGGAAATTTCATTGTAAATGTATGTATGTGTGGATATGCCTGCGTTAATTTGTTACTTTATATTTAAGCATTTTAATTGTAGTTTAACAAATGCTGAAAGCTTGTTTTAAAATTCTTCTTTCATTGTTTATACATATGATTAAAGCTGCAAAAGTTATGTGTATTTAATTCTATAATTCACCAAGCATAAAGATAAATGCATTTTCTGTAATATTTTTTTAAATATCAGTTAATTGGAATAAAAATGTATTTGCAGAATGTTTTGGCAAAATTAGGCTTAGAAAGCAAGCACCCACTATCCTGTGGAGACATCAAGAAAACTCAGCACTCCGTCTCCTAGCAACAGAGCACAAGATTGGCCTGCTGTCCGGAAAGGGTTAAACTACTTTTATTGCTCTTTAAGGCACCAGCTATACTTTGAAATGACCATTGGAATTTAAATGAGTGACCAAAATGTAATTAAATATCAAAAAGGATCGTATTTTATACATACGCAACAACATTTGGATGGTTTAGTTCTTTCAATGTTGATATTTCTCTCAGTGCTGTGGAAGGAACACCTTCATCTTCATTTTCAATTCTTATCTTTTTCAAGGCAACAATTCTTCCAGTTTTTTTATGTTTTCCCTTATACACAACACCATAAGTGCCTAGAAATTGCAAAAAGGAGTTTTAAAATAGTATAGAATACTTTTAAGCTTATGTTGACAAAGAAAACTCGTATTCTAATTAAATACATAGGCTTCCCTCTGAGTATTTAGAGGAAATATTTTTTATTAAATAGAAAAACCTCAGTTCTTAAAAACATGTTACATAAGTTACAACATTTTATAAAACTGAAACTTTAATAAAATTAAAAAATTAAATATAAAGTCTCTTATATGGGTATTTACGTTATGTTCATTGAAAAAACCATCAAAGTAATTTAAAATATTTTCCAAAATTTAATTTTCAACGATTTTTTTATGTGCAACATTTTTAAACTTATTACTTAAAGCTTTTAGAGCTGATTTTCTGTTAACAAGGCGGCAGCAGTGTTGGATGTACATATAAACTGCACTAGGGCCCCCCACTTTCTTGGGGGACACCCCCAAAAATTGTACCATATCTCCTATAAAAAATTGAATTATATCCTTCATAAAGGGCCCCATATCTCAAACAGCTTAGAATCCCGTCAAATCTAAATCCGGTCCTGACTGGCAATTGCCAAATATGCATCAAAGCAGCAAAAATGGTAGCCTACTTACCATATTTGCCGGCATGAAAGATGCACTTTTTTCCTTTGAAAATAGATCTAAAAAATCTGATGTGTACACCACGACTTCCTTGTAAGGAATATTAAATTATATGCATTTTTTCTTGAATTACATTTAAAATTATTGGATTAAATTAAATGTATTTCGTCATTAGCGCATAAACAACAATAGAATAAATGCACTCTTTAAAATTCACTACATTTGTTTACCATAGCGACACTCTGGCCCTAGGTTCGCTTAACAGCATTAAATTTCATTCATTTTTTAACTCGGAATGCACAAAATTTATATCATTTTAAGAATAATCTAATTGTTGCCACATATTCTATTATAATACTATAATAAATCTAAAACAATGTATAAAAGAAATTAAGCAAACAACATTAAAAAAAAAAGGTTTTCACAGATGATTCAGTATTTCTCATTCAATTGATTCAGTTCTCGCTTCCCGACAACGCAAAAATACATAAAAACTCTACATATTACGAAGTAACTCTGAAACACTTATTTCCTCGACTAAATTCTAGAATGGGTTAAGTATGATTTAATTCACAATAATAAAAGAAGGCGTTATTATCTTTGTTTTTGCGAAGCTTACTTTCTCTAGATTGGCAACAAATCTACTATTCTGCTGTTTCAAATGTAAACAAATATTGCTGCACTGCAAAAGGCTTAGTGGCACTTAAAACATTTAAATTGCTAATAATTCTAAAAATATCACATGCAGATTTACTAAAGGCATAACAACCTTAACCGGAAGATAAGAACAACATAATTCAATCATTTTTAAAGCAAAAAGTGCCCAATTTGCAAACATATAAGAATAAAGAAACTGATATTACTGATCCGAGTAACAGAGTGGATATACACTGAAGTGACAAAAGTCATGGAATACCTCCTAATATTTTGTCGGTCCTCCTTTTGCCCGGCGAAGTGCAGCAACCCGACGTGGCATGGACTCAACAAGTCGTTGGAAGTCCCCTGCAGGAATATTGAGCCATGCTGCCTCTATAGACGTCCATAATTGTGAAAGTGTTGACGTTGCAGGGTTTTGGGCACGAACTGACCTCTCAATGATGTCCCATAAATGTTCGATGGGATTCATGCCGGGTGATCTAGGTGGCCAGATCATTCGCTGGAATTGTCCAGAATGTTCTTCTAACCAATCGCGAACAATTGTGGCCCGGTGACATGGCGCATTGTCATCCATAAAAATCCCATCGTTGTTTGAGTACGTGAAGTCCATGAATGGCTGTAAGTGATCTCCAAGTAGCTAAAGGTATCAATTTCCAGTAAATGATCGGTTCAGTTGCACCAGAGGACCGAGTCCATGCCATGTAAAACAGCCCAGACCATTATGGAATCACCAGCAGCTTGAACAGTGCCTTGTTGACAACTTGGGTCCATGGCTTCGTGGAGTCTGCACACACTCGAACACTACCAACAGCTCTTACCAACTGAAATCGTGACTCATCTGACCAAGCCACGGTTTTCCATTCGTTTAGGGACCAACCGATATGCTCTCGAGCCCACGAGAGTCGCTGCAGGCAATGTCGTGCTGTCAGTAAAGGTACTCGAGTCGGTCTTCTGCTGGCATAGACCAAGGAAGACAAATTTTGCTGCACTGTCCTATTGGACACGTCCCACATTGATTTATGCGGTTATTTGACGCAGTGTTGCTTGTCTGTGAACATTGACAACTCTACGCAGACGTCGCTGGTCTCAGTCGTTAAGTGCAGGTGGTCGGCCACTGCACTGTCTATGGTGGGATGTTATGCCTGAAATTAGATACTCTCGACACACTCTCTTGACACTGTGGATCTCGGAACGTTGAATTCCCTAACAATATCCGAAATGGAACGACCCATGCGTCTAGTTCCAACTACCATTCTGCGTTCAAAGTCTGTTAATTCTCATCGTGCGGCCATAATCACGTCAAAGCGTCTTCACATGAATAACTTGAACACAAATCAAAGCCCTGCCAAAGCACTTCGCATTTATACATTTTCTACACGATACTACTGCCATCTGTATATTTTCATATTGCTATCCCATGACTTTTGTCACTTCAGTGTATATACAAGGTTGTTCAATAAGTTCGCGGAGCGCCATCTATTCGTCAATATTAGATCTAAAATTTCGACGGCATTTTCCTATTTGTTCTTTCTTAGGAACACGTCAAAAGTTTCATTTCGATCTGTTAATTTATTCATTGTTTAACCACCCTTTATATCTAACGTGTTGTGCCTTTTTTCAGGTATGGATAAAATTCAGCAACGTGCAGTTATCAAATTCTTTGTAAAGAAAGGTTTAAAGTCAATGGAAATTCATACCGAAATGGTGAATGTGTTGGGCGAATCTGCTCCTTCAAAAACATTGGTTTGCAAATGGGCTAGTTTATTAAAAAGTGGTCGTACCAGCCTTGAAGACGATCCGCAAGAGGGACGTCCAAAAACTGCATCAACACCGGAAATCATCGGAAAAATACAAGATATAAAAAGAAATACAAGATAGAAAAAAGTTACCTCTTCCGGCGTCGGCGCAAAAATCGCTTTTTTTTGGCTGGATCGTTGTATGAACTTCCCTGACTTTTCCAGATTTTGACAAAAATACTTAAATTCCCTGACTTTTCCCTGAATATTTTGGTCAATTTTCGAATTCCATGACTTTTCCCGGTTCTCCAGGTTTTCCAGGTAGCGTGGCAACCCTGAAGTAAGCACCTATAAGGGCCTTTATATTTTATTTTCAAATATATGGACTTTATTCAAATATATTGCCAAGTTGTTTATAAGTTGTTTATTATCGCCAAGCACTTATAAGGACCGCTATGAACCCTGTGGAATAAAGCGAGCAAAAGTAACATGAGAAGCATGAGGAAATTTGTTTTATTAAATTGCATTAATGATTTTTGGGGCTTAAATGGATAAAATATCAGCAGAAGTCATGAAACTCAGACATGATTTAGGCTTTGTATCACTGGATGCTGCCAATATAATGGACATTATTCAAACAGAATCTCAACCTTGTCAGAATGAATCTCTCATCAACACAGAAGAAAGTGAAACCAAAGAAAATGTGCAACAGAAAAAAAAATTCACATTGAATAATTTCAAAGAATTATTCAATGCCTTTGGAATGCATGTGAATTAATCGAAGAAAATAATTCAAATGGGGGGGGGAAGGAGCTTTGAAACAAGGTGAAAATTTCTTTATCGCATGATGAACGAAGAAAAAAAGATGCAAAAATGTTCGATTTTCTGCTAAAAAATAATATTTTACTTTCTGATTTTGCATACAAATAATAAAAGTCTCCTATTATGTATTGCACTTTTTACCCTTTTATTATTATACATTAATTTTTACGTACATATATAAATGTTTTTTTAAACAAAATTTGATAAGAACCAATTATTGATTTTCCTGCAGAACTGCAGATTCATTTAGTGCAGTACTTTAGAATAACCAGTTAACAGTACTAAATGAGATATTCCTGTATTATATATTTATCTTGATTTAATACTTGTTTTTATTATTATTGTAGCTGTCCCTCAGTGCCCACCAAACTCCACATTTTTAAAATACGCCTTCCAAGTAAAAAAGGTTACTGATCTCTAGTCCAAAGATTTACGCAGATTCATTTGGCAAGGGGTGAAAAAAAGAACTGTAACCATGTGACTTGTAAACAAATTTGAGCATATGGCCTAAGTGCTGTATTTGCCTTGCATTCAGAAAATCCAGAGCTGGAGTGAGACAGACTGCTCAGCATTAGTTCAGGGTGGCAAGAGTAATTGACTTAGATTAGGTTATTTGACCTAAATATGCTGTAGCCATGATCAGAAAATAAAAGTATTGTATTCAGTTGAATTGAACATTCCAGCTATTTGCTGCAGAGTCAAAAAGACATATTTTATTTCATGTTATTTTAATTTAAAGCTCATGAGTGGCAATTAAAACAAATATAAATAAAGTTTTACTTGCTTTGTGTTTATGCTTTTACATTTAGTCTTAAGATGTAAGCAATAACTTGCATCATAGCTTTAAGTTAAGATTAAGAAGTGAGAGATTAATTAGGTTGCTTAGTTAGAAAGACTCCTCATATGTTATGTACTAATGTAATGTCCCTGAAGATCCAAAAAGCTCCAATGAAATTTTTCTTATTATGCAGGCATATTTTCAAGTCTTTTTTTAATTGCATTTTTATTACGTGGTCATATTATTCAAAACATTGACACATCAAACATGCTTTTTGTTTAGTTGCTCAATATATTTCAATAAAGATGCATCATAATGAAGAGGATAAAGATGCATCATAATGAAGCAGTGTTAAAAAATACTCAGCACAAATTAAGTACAAAATAAATATTCATTACAATTTATATGAAATAATCAAAGTAATTATATATAATGTACAAAATAAATATTCATTACAATTTATATGAAATAAGCAAAGTAATTATATATAATGCACTTTTACAGCGCAGTTTTCTCTATGTTATGTTTTTTGTGTGAATTAAATCTATTACTATTAATTAGTAGAGACATTTCATGTCTACTTTAATTCACACAAATTCCTTTCTGAAATATTTTTTGCTCTTTTCAGACCTTTCTGTAGCTTAATCAAAATAGTCTGGAGAAAATTACTTTGTAAACAAAAGCATTTATTACAACAGATTCGGAAATATTTCTCCACATTTTAAATAGAATATACCTTTGTTAACTCCAGAAAACCTCAGCATTCATAAAAAAAATAAATAAGATTTTTTTACAATTATATCTTATTAACAGGGCTGAGTAAACATAATATTACACGAAAAAATAAAATATAAAATTGAAATACCTTCACCAATTTTTTCTACTTTTACATAATCTTCCATGGTATCACCTAAGAAAAAAATTCCATTAGTTTATAATTATACAAAGTAAATTAAGCTAAATTATGAATTAGTACATCCTTACCAGAAAATCATTCACAAACCATACACAGTCATTATATGAAATAATTGTTGAAAGAATGTAAATCAAACATTTTAGAAACCACTTGTTTCTTTCACTAACATTAAAATAAATAAAACTATTTTAAGGAAAATTGGTTCCTCACAAACAAACTAGAAAGATTCTTCATTGACAAATTAAAAATAATTATTAATCCTTAATGTTTAAACAGAATTTTTTAATTCATTGCATATTACAAAAAAAGCCTTGTTTTATATAAATTCAGTTACAGACAATAAATAATCAGAACAATTGATTAACAAAGGGACTACTGATAATATTCTTTTTTTTAAACAACTTATTAATTTTTTGTTTTATTCCAATGAGCATCAGTGAATTTCTATTAAATCAAACATTGTTAAAATATGTAAAAATAGATGGCTACTGCATCAAAAGAATGCTGTGCAGGCCTCAGCATGATAAATTATTGGAATTTTTTAAAGCATAACATACTTGTATAGTACTTCCTTGTTAAAGCAGTCACTGCATTGTCATCATTCTTAGGTTTAGAGAAGATTTAAGGGTGCCCCTTGTATTATTGTGAAGTTGTTTCATTTATCGCCAAGTTGTTTCTTCATTTATGGTAACTTGAGTTAAATGTTATGAAAACCCTATTAAGACGTAATTAGTTGCGAGATTGCGGTGAATTTCAATAATGGGAAAAAATTTGTAAGGGCTTGTGGGGTGTGTTGGTTTGGAATTTCTTTGCTTGTTTTGTGATTTAAATGGTAAAATGGCAGAATGTAATAAGATTAATTTGAAGTTTCTGTACAATTTTGAATGAAATTGAAAAAGAGCATTAATTGACTGGTGTGTAAATGAAAGTTTACTTAGTAGCCATTATAAGTATCTTGTTTCTAGGAAGGAAATGAGTATGGTCGAACATCGGAGGATACCAGCCCTAAGGAGGATATTTTTTAATCTTATCTTTGTGAATTTATGTGGTGACAACAATATACAGTTTTTACTTAGATAATTTTTGGAAGTTTTTGGGTGCTTTAAGGAATTTTATTTGATTGAAGATGGGAAAATTTTAAAATAAGGCAAGTGGATATTTCCTTTGTGTAGTGCCAAGATGAATTTCCTTTTTTATATTATTTGATTGTTTAATATAAAATGTAGTTTATTGAGATTATATATTTTTTGTTGACTGCTCCTATTACTTTTTAAGTGAAAATAGATCGACATAATGTACATGGACAAAGTCAAGAGTGTGCACAATGTGAAGTTTGTGCAATTCTCCGATATTTAAGTGAAAATAGGTCGATGTGTACATGAATACCTCCAAAAATCATCAAGGGGCACCTGTAAATATATTTTTACCCATCCTTGATATGATCTATGTGTGACGCACAAATTTCATAGGCTTACATATGGTAGCTACTTAATTCAAGGAGTACGGCTGACATACATGCATTTTAGAATTTAATTTTACCCCAAAGAAAATGGAATAAATAAACAATGATGTCCCATGAAGCTAAAATTACCAATAATGCTTTAACTTAATTGAAATGTTTTATTATTTCTAGAAAAAAATGTATCATAATTAATTTTCTCCAAAAATCCAGCAAAAAGTGACGCATAATTTTCATTCATTTATCGATATGGTGTTTCACTAATTATTTTTCTTTTCAATCATACTGGCCCAATAAGAAAATGCAATTTATGGTTTCATAAATATATTTTTAAAATTTAAATATCTACGTATTAGCATCTAGAACTATTTCATACAAGTCCCAATTTATATTTTGTTTTACTTTTCTTTGACCATACATGTAATATTTAAATTGATTAGTTATGCAATATATGAATATAAGCATAATCATATTAAAAGGAAATAAGTAAAAATTTCCTTTTTACTTATTATTTATTACTCTTATTAATTTTTTTTCTCCATCATGACTTAAACTTGTCAATACTATTCAGAAAATACCCTTTCCTAAAATATTAGTTTATCATGTCATCAACAGTACATTAAATCTTGCATGATAAAGGAATATATCACTTATGAAATTTCTGTTGAATTGTATAATTTGCGATTAAACTTCAGCCACATCAGGACAAATTTTTCACCTCTTTTGAATCCATCCATTCAAAATTCCAAAATAGGTTGCTGCATATAATAGCAAAAAAATTTTCATTATATGGTTTTTAAGATGATACAGATTCAATTTTGTAATGCATATTTTTAAATTCAATTCTGATGCCTGTACTTTGTAAATAATTGTTATCTTGCAGTTTCTGTCATTAGTACAAAATAAAACTCAGAATCAATCTAAATATACCAATTTAACATGATGACTGCCTAACATGAGATAACTCCTATTAGCACTCTTCTTCAGGATGCCCAATACGAGTTATCTCGTAGTTTCTTGACTTGCCAATTTTGTGCCACTATGAGTTATTTACTTGCTTAGCAATTGTTTTAGCTGTACCGAGGTGACAAGTTGAAGCATGTCTATACGAATCAACTCGAAGTGCACTTCTGCGAAGAGCTTTGTCTAACAAAAGCATACTACGAGATAATTCATAGGACCCTTTTTTCTACAAAAAAATATCCTGTAAACTTTTTAATGATTGTTACAAATCATTATTAGTATTTTTAATAATATAGTATGATTAAATTGAATTGGCTTCTCGGAGTGGAATCTGAAAAGTGCCATGGCAGTCAATGTGCTAAAAGCAGACGCACAAGCAGATACACAAAATACACATTGTATACAAATTTATACATGCATAACTAGACTCATATGTATGCTTGCAATAACCTTTTCTTAGCAATATATGCATTTTTACATATGGATACGTATGTGCATATATTATGAAGAAAAGGTTATTGCAAACTTACTAATGAGACTAATTAAAATTATGGGTTAGAGCTGACTTTAGGGTACCCCTTGTATTATCACGAAATTGTTGTTTCATTTATCGCCAAGTTGTTGTCTCATTTATGACAACCTGAGTAATTGAATGCTATGGAAACCATATTATGTCGTAATTGGTTGCGGTGAATTTGAATCATGGGAAAAAATTTGGAAAGTGTGTATCAGATTTTGGGTAAGTGCTTGTGTGTGATGGATTAGTATGTTGTTATTTTGTGGTTTACACGGTAAATTAGCTGAATGTGGCAAAATTAATTTGAAGTTTCTGCAGGATCTGGAACGAAAGAGAAAAAAGCATTAACTGACTGGTGTGTTAATGAAGGTTTACTTAGTAGCCATTATTAAGTATCCTGTTTGGAGGAAGGAAATGCGCATGTTTGAACATCGGACATTTTTTACTCTTATTTTTGTGAATTTATGTGGCTATTTCAATATACAGATTCTAGTTCAGATAATTTTAGGAAGTGTTTGACTGAAGACGCGTAAATTCGTAAATAAGGTAACTGGATATTTCTTTCGTGTAGTGAAAAGATGAATTTCCTTTTTTATGTTATTTCATTGGTTGATTTAAAATGTAGTTTATTCAGATTATATATTTTTTTGTTGACTGCTTCTTTCACTTTTAAAGTGAATATAGTTCGATGTGTACATGAACAAAGTCAAGGGAGTGCGCAAAACTTAGTTTGTGACATTCTGATTGTTTTAAGCGAAAATAGGTCGATGTGTACATGGATAAAGTCAAGAGAGTTGCGCAATGCCATTTTGTGCAATACTGAGATGTTTTTTAAGTGAAAATAGGTCGATGTGTACATGGATACAGAGTTTGTGCAATTTTTCTCATTATTTTGGCTTTGTGTAGCGGCGAATTTGCCCAAAAAAAAAAACGCCGCTATATAAGACAAAATAACAAGTCAAAGAATTGCACAAACTCGGTATCTATGTATCATCAAAAATCACCAAGGGGTACCCTAAAATATACTTTTACCAAATTATGTATAAAATAGAAACATTTAAATCAATAATATAACAGTGCTACACATGAATAAAATATAAAGTATTTTTCTGGTATGCACCTACTGTGCATTTTGGGACGAAAGTGTGTATACACACTGTTCTGTTGTTATGCACACACAACATGTCAAAATGCATGGCAGATGTCTAATATATAGTCTGTGTATGGCATTGGGGGGCACTTAAAATACTGGCATGCCGAAGTTTTCTTGAGTGGTTTACATTACAAAATCATTCTTCCTTTATTCATTAAATACGTGACAGCTATTAAGGATTAATGTCAAGTCTGCGGGTTTTTTTAAATTTCAAATCTTCAGTTCTTTAAAAAGATTTCTTTCTTCTGATAGCAATTATTTCGGGTTTTCAACCGCAGAGAACCGGTTGGCGCTTCAGGAAAGAATCCGTTGCTGCCGTTGCATTTTTACTCGCCAAGCTCGCGGTTCATCGACGATGAGCCGAGCCGTAAATGTGATATTTTGTAAACGTGATTTTTAGTGCATGTTAATTCAAGTTAGCAGACAAAACAAGCATATGGTAGTAAAAATTCACAGGTAATAAGCATGTAGATATAAAACTAACCAGTTAAACGGATATACGAAAATAATTTGAATTAATTCAAGTTAGCACAGAAAGAATTTATTAGCATAGACATATATAAGCATTTATAAGGAAAATTCATTTAAAATTATAATTAGTCTTAATATTGAAATTAACCGGTTAAACGTGAGAAACAAAAAATTTGTTTAAACTCCAATTACACAGAAGAAAACAATATATTCCTACATCAGCAGTGGTTTTGCTAATTTGATGACCTGGTGATGCATCAACTATTCTGTCATCTTAATAATCAATAATTTTTTTATTTC